ATCGGGTGTATCATAGAACTATGTGGGAAGCCAGTGAAGTGATTGCTGGACCCCTTGCTGAGATATTTTTATCATTGATAGCATGGGTGAGGTGCTGCAAGACTGGAGGGTGGCTAATGTGGTGCCATTATTTAAGAAAGGTGATAAGGACAAGCCAGGGAACTACAGACCAGTGAGCCTGAAATCAGTGGTGGCCAAGTTGTTAGAGGGAATTCTGAGGGACAGGATCTCCATGTATTTGGAAAGGCAAGAATTGATTACGGATAGTCAACGTGGCTTTATGTGGGAAATTGAGTCTCACTAACATGATTAGTCTTTTCTGTCACTTCAAAAAAAACTCAAAGGCAAAACTGTGGATGTTGTCTAGATATAGTTCAGCAACATATTCGACAAGGCTCCGTATGGTAAACTGTTTCACAAGGTTAGATCACATGGAATATTGGGAGAGCTAACCATCTGGATACAAAATTGGCTTGAAGATAGGAGATAGAGGGTGGCGGTGTAAGGTTGTTTCTCGGACTGGAGGCCTGTGACCAGTGGTGTGCCGCAGGGATTGGTGATGGGTTCGCTGATTTTTGTTATTTACATAAATTATTTGGACATAAATGTAGGAGATACGATTAATAAGTTTGCAGATGAAAGCAAAATTGGAGGTGTAATGGACAGTGAAGGTGGTCACCTCAGAGTACAACGGGATCTTGATCATACACACTTAATGGTAAAGTCCTGGAGAATGTTGTTGAACAAAGAGGCCTTGGAGTGCAGGTTCATAGCTCCTTGAATGTGGAGTCGCAGGTAGACAGGGTAGTGAAGAAGGTGTTTAGTATGCCTGAGTTTATTAGTCAGTGCATTACATGTAGTAATTGGATATCTTGTTGTGGCTGTACCGGAGGTTGGTTCGGCCACTTTTGGTTCAATTCTGGTCTCCCTGTTTCAGGAAAGATGCTATTAAACTTGCAAAGGATGCAGAAAAAAATTTACAAGGATGTTGCTGGGGTTGGAGGGTTTGACCGAAAGGGAGAGGCTGAAAAGGCTGGGGTTATTTTCCCACACTGCTGGAGGCTGGGGATTGACCTTATAGAGGTTTGTCCAATCAATAGGGCATGATGAATAGCCAAGGTCATTTCTCCAGGGTGGGGGAGTCCAAAGCTAGACAGCATAGGTTTAGGGTGAGAGGGCAAAGATGTAAAAGGGACCTAAGGGACAACGTTTTTCATGCAGACGGTGATGCATGTATGGATTGAGCTGCCAGAGGGAGTGGTGGAGGCTGGTACAATTACAACATTTAAAACGCATCTGGGTGGGTACATGAACAGGAAGAATTAAAGGTATATGGGCCAAATGTTGGCAAAAGCGACGAGATTAATCTAGGATATCTGGTGGTCATGGTCTTCCAATCCAAGATACCTTCTTGCCATTGTTCTTATTCCATCCTGTACTAACAAAGCTACCTCTCTTTCCTTTCGTTCCTGCAGCTACACTTCACAGCGCCACCAACAGCATTTTCCAAATCCATGACCTCTCCGACCAGAGAAGGACAGCAGTTACAGGGGAACGCCACCAGCTGCAGTCTGCCCTCCATGGTACACACCATCCTGCCTTGGAGATATATTGCTGTTCTTTCAGACTCCCTGGCTCAAAAAACCCAGAACTCCCTCTCTATCAGGATTGTGGATGAACTCACATCTCCACAGACTGTTGCAGATCAAGAAAGCAGCTCATTACCACTTTCTCGAGGGCAATACATGCTGGCATGTCAAGTGACAGCCACATCCCACCAATGGATTTTTTAAAAAACTGGCGATGAAGACGAATTCCCCTCCCTTCCAGTCCATGTCTCTCCGCTTTTCAAAACCTAAAGACCTATATCTTCAACCAAGCTTTTGTCAGGCCTCCTAAGATCCCCTTTGACACAGCATTTAATTTGGTTAGATTCGTACGTTTATGTTTCTGAGATGTATCTTGGGACACTTGCCTAACAGAAGGTGTGATGTCAATGAAAGTTCTCTTTAAATCAAATTGTGACAGATTGGGAAAGCCAGTATTAAAATAAATACACAGGTAAATGGAGCTGAGTCACAGATCAGATATGACCCTCAATGAATGATTCATTTCTTTTTCTTTTCTTTTGTATTTTTTTAAATCCTCCTCTTCTCTCTTCCAGCCTCCGAACTCCTAGCCTTCAAAATTCCAGCCTCAGCCCTCACGACTTCTGAACTCCTGGCTTCAGAACTCTCAGCCTTGGATCTCACGGCCTCCGACTTGCAGGCTCGGAACTCTCAGCCTCGGCACAGACCCAACGAGGCGTCCTCTTGGACTGTTATGATGGTCTGCCGGCCCAGCATGGCTTCGGCGTGAACTTCTGTCTCAAGGTGATGCCAGAGCATTCTCCTGGCCTCATGAACCCTGAGCTGAAGCCAGGCATGGTCTGGAGTTGAAGCCCGGTGCAAACTGGAGGCTAAGTGCCAGCATGAACTGGGTAGGAAGACCTGTTCTGAACTTTTTTCTCCATTTTATAATTTATTCCAATAATCTGCAGTGCTGGACTTTGTATTTTGACCTCAATTCTTCCAAAGAACTGTAACTGAAAAAGCTGTACTTGGGGACCTTTGTACCTAAGATGGCACTGTAAGTGGTGACTTGTACACTTAAGGGTCACTGGACCCAAAATGTTAACTCTGATTTCTCTTCACAGATGCTGCCAGACTTGCTTAGCTTTTCCGGCAACTTCTGTTTTTGTTTCTGATTGACAGCGTCTGTATTTCTTTTGGCTTTTATTTAGTATTTCACTGTATTCATTTGAGTACATAGGATAATAAAGCTAATTCTGATTCTGATATAAGAGATCTGAGTGATCCATTGGCCCCTTCCTGTTCTTATATTCCAAATAAACCAGAACCCAAACACAACTGATGAACAGAACGGCATAAGAGCTGGGGACAAGACATGGCAACAGGAAACCAGACCTTGAGCAAAGTTTGTGAGTGGGGGATGTCTGGGGAGAATGTACAGAAAAACTGGAATAGGTCATTCAGCCCCTTTCAGACTGCTCAGCATTTCAGTTAGACCCAGACTAAAGGACAGTGAATCCCTACAGTGTGGAAACAGGTCCATCGGCCCAACAAGTCCACACCGAACCACAGAGCATCCCACCCAGACCCATCCGCCATGACCCACCTAATCTACACATCTCTGACACTATAGGCAATTTATCATGGCCAATCCACCTTGCCTGCACGTCTTTGGAATGTGGGAGGAAACCCACGCAGACGCAGGGAGAATGCGCAAACTCCACACAGACAATCACCTGAGGGTGGAATCGAACCCAGCTCCCTGACACTGTGAGGCAGCAGTGCTAACCACTGTGCTAAAGAACATTGACATTGCCCAGCTTCTACTAGGGTACACCACAAGCGATTATTGCTAGCGGTGGGATACAAACCCACAACTCAATAGAGACTGGAGCTTAAATCCAGCACCTTAGACCACTCAGCCACGCTACCTTTTTGGGCTGGAGTACCTTTCCCCATGTCCTTACCCCACCCCCGTACACTGGGCCTTGTCATCACATGGACTGCTATCACAAACAACACATTGTCTTTGACTATTAGCAGCTGTTTTATTTCACTCCTTCATCACTGACCAACACTGATTGCTCATCCCGAATTGTTCTTGAGAAGGTAGTGGTGAGCTGTCTTCTTGAACTGTTGAAAGTGATATATTCTCTCCAAAGTATTTCATCACAGGATCCTTCTCTTCCAGGACCTCAGCAGTTTCTTAGTGCAAGCACTTCTCTTTGTGATAAGCCAGATAATTGGCGAAACAAAAGCAGAAATTGCTGGAAAATTTCAGCAGATTTATCGGCATCTGTAGTCAGGGTCTGGAAGTCACGATCTGAAAGGGGAGTGGAGGTAGAAACCCTGAACACATTTAAAAGGTGTCTGGATCTGCAGCTCGAGTGCTAGAACCTGCAGGGCTACAGACACAATGTCAGAAAGTGGGTGAGGTTGGATGGATGGATGTTTGTTTTTTGGCCAGTGCAGACACAATGAGAAGTGGTCCCTTCCTGCGCTGTAAATTTTCTGTAAATCTATGAACGGATTCACACAAATTAAAAAGAATACTTTAAAACTCATCTCATACTTAGAATATTTTAAAGCACCAGAGATATGCTGAACTGTAATTTCAGAGTGAGGAATGACTGTTGGATTGCTCTCCACAGGAAGACAACATTTGTTGCTCAGCCTCTTATTTAGCATCAGCGTGTTCATATATGCAAAGAGTTTCGCTAAGTCAAGAACTCTGCTGAGACACCAATAAGTTTGTATTGGGGAAGGAATCACTTGTTTAACCTGCTCACTTCGCACCAACTTGTTCACATCGATCAAAGACATTTTCAATGTTCTGGCTGTGTGAAGTGTGTTAAGAACAGTGATCTGCTGAGCTGCAAACACACTCGCAATGAGGAATAAGCTAATCAGTTGCTGTGTGCGCAACTACACAAAGCCTGCTGAGAAACCAGTCAGTTTACACTGGGGAGAGCGCATTCACCTGCTCTGTGTCTGAAAAGGGATTCCCTTAGACATCCCTATCCATTGATACACCAATGAGTTCATAAGTGATGACAGAAATTGGATTCTGCTGTTGTTGCTGCAGTTAATCACATTCATAACTGAAACAGATTAATTCAGAGAATTGGGTTTTGTTTTCTTTCTGAGGTTAATGGCACTGTGATGTGACTGGAAGTCGTTATTTTAAAACAACAAATAAATCAGCTTTGCTTCAAACACACTGTGTTGTGTCCTCAGTTTCTCAAAGATAGCAGGAGCATGTTCCCTGAAATCCACCCAGGAAATGCTTTTAGCAGATATTCAACAATTGAGCACATCACATTAAATAATTTTCAGCAACGTAGGAGAGAGGGAGATTTTACTCAGGCAGTTATTGTGATCTGTAATGCCCTGCCTGAAGAGGAGTAGAAGCAAATTCAACAATAACTTTCAGCAGTGAATCAGATCTCCTATTTTAAATGAAGAGTCAGAGGAAAGTAAGACTAACTGACAGCTCTTTCAAAGATGGTCGTGTCGCTATCAGGCAGGAGAAGGGGTGATGCCCAACTCCTGAAGAATAACAAGGAATCAAGGAAGTTATAATGAACCTGTATCAGACACAGATCACCCTCGACCAGAGTGTTGTGTCCAATACAGGGAACCACATTTTAGGAAGGAGGTGATCGCTTTGCAGATGTTTCAAAAAAGAAAAATTATACAAGGCTATAGAGCAAAAGCAGGGGGTAAGACAATCACTGGCATGGACACGTTGGGCTGAATGGCCTCTGTTGCATTGTAACCATTCCAATATTCTAATCAAAACTATGAGGAATGGACAGGGGAGAGGACAGATTGGCAGCTTCTTCATGGATGGTCCTGAGCCACTAAAGCAACTCTATGTTAACTGGTCTGAAGTTCTGAAGAGTTATGCTGGACTTGAAATGTTAATTCCATTTCTCGCGCCACAGAGACTGCCGGAGCAGCTGAGTTTCTCCAACACTTACTGATTAAACTTAATCCACATCCACAGTATTTTGCTTCTGTGTTAAGTGTTGTTTGATACCCACTTTTCAAACAGGGAGGCAATGGTCTCACAGTATTATTGGTGGACTGTTAATCCAGAGGCCAAGATAACGTTCTGGGTTTGAATCATGCCAATGCAGATGGTGGAATTTGAATTCAATAAAAAAAAAACCTGGAATTAAGAATTTAGTGATGACCATGAATCCTTTGCCAATTGTCAGAAAAACCCATCTGGTTCACTAACGTCTTTTAGGGAAGCAAACCGCCACCCTGACCTGGTCTGGCCTATTTGTGACTCCAGAACCACAGCAATGTGGTTAACTCTCAACTGCCCTTTTGGCAACTGGGATGGGCAATAAATACTGCCTAAAAGCTACTCCCACATCCTGTGAATGAATAAAGGAAAAAAAGATATTGAGTTCCCTTTGAATTCTTTGTCAATAGCTTTCCAACACCCTGAGGACTTTCTGAATGTATCAGAGGAACAGTTGGAACAGAAGGAGGCCACTTAGTCCCTTAAGTCTCCTCAAACATTCAATTCAATCAGGACTGACCCTTATTTCATATACCTTTACCTTTGTTAAGCTCTTAACAAAAATCTAACATCTCCATTTTAAAATGTTCAATTGGCTCTCAGTATCCACAACCTGCCATGACCAGGGATTTTACATTTCTAATTCTCCACTTTGCTCTCACACTGATATTTCTGTGCCGCACTCACTGCACTGTTCCAGTGAAGTTACACATAAGCTTCAAGAAAGCACCTCATCTTTCAATTCAGCACTTTAAAGCTTTCTGGACTCACCATGGAGACCAACATTTTCAGACTGTGAACTCTGTCCCCTATTTTGTTTTCATTTCCCTTGTTTCAGTTTGTTTCTTTGTGAGCTGCACACCTGCTCCAGGCACATCTTTTGCTACTTTGTTTCTTTTCCAGCCCCAACTCCATTGTCTGTGGCCTTTCTGTCATTTAATCTTTCCTGTCTTCTCCCTTGTCATGGACCATCTTTTTGTACTCGCCTAACCCAAACCTTACTCAAATCCGATTACATTTCTTACGTTTCCCAGTCCTGATGAAAATTCATATACCTGAAACATTAACTCTATTTCTTTCTGCAAACATACTGCCTGAACTTCTGAGTTTTTTCAACATGTTCTGTTTTCATTCTGAA